TGTCTCACCTGTCGAAATCTTTCTCCTCCGATACCCCTTTTTAGGAGTATCGGAGATGAGTTTCGAGACATCTTTGCTATCCCGTGGATGGGGCGTGGATCCGCAGGGGCCGCCGATTTTCCTACCGTAGTCCAGAGCTCCTCTGGGCGCGGGATATTCCTCCCCGCGGGCTCTCTGGGATTTTCCTTTGTCCCCAAAGGGAGAGTGCCGCCGCTCTTTGGTGTCGCGTCACTATCGGGCGTAAAGCCTTCTAGCGACACACACTGGCTACCGCTCCCCGAGACGGCTAAGCTAGTGTAGACAGCTCACCCTTATCCCTGACTTCCGGTGATCTCTTCCTAGAGACATCCGGCCCTCCCGCGACACCTTTGTTCTATTTCTCCCCTGGGCGCCTGCTGGCCCGCGACACCCATTTTCCCTATTTCCTTACCGACACTTATACTCTAATAAACCTTTGTCTATCTCAAACGTGTTCGGTACATTGGATCTTATTCGTGACTCGCTGGGCATTTACACAAGGCCTAAATATTCTCGAGTCTCCACTGACTCCGATGATCCGAGGGTAGGAGTGATCGAGGGTCGCTAGTATTATGGTGGCAACTCCTGAGAGGGCAGGATGAGCATAATACTTTCGACATGGTGCGTCGGCCGATGTGAATAACCCGGGTCAAGATCCATTTTTTGTACCGTTCACATCCCTACTTTCTACCTGGTTTTCCCTATTTGTGTCCTCGTTAAAGATTTAGAACAAGTTTCTGACTTGTGCCGTCTGTTGCCGTGCTGACAGGCTCCCTGAAGCTCGGGCTGGCAAATTCGACATCGTGCAATGAAGATTATTCGACACAAGTTCTCTTCAAGATGGTTCTCGACAGTGCTGATCACGCTGCCGTATGTCGACAAGTCACCCTGCTCGGCGTCGACAAAAGGACAGTCGCAACTGGAGCGACAACCCTCCTGCTACAAGATGGAGTTCGTCACTTTTCACGTTGGCCAGCTAGCCATCCTGCACTTCGAAGCCGTGCTGCCCAAAAGCCCACATTGGCCGAAGTTAGGGATGATACCTTGAGCCGTGAAGAAGACGATACAACACCATGGAGTGGCCGTAGACGCGGACAGAGCATCGCTCTACGTGATTCGGCGTTTATCTACCCGCGATGACGCGTTTCTGAGAAGCGAGAAGTTGGATTTTCCTCTTCCTGGTCGCCCCCAAGCGTAGCCGCCCCTGATAGTGGGAGAGGCGCGACGCTGAGGTTGAGGAATTTCCAAGGGACCGTAGAGGTGTTCGATTGTTTACATGACTGATGGATTGGTGATGTTCTATTTTTGATTTGGACTGGTCGCGATAGAAAATGGTGTTTTTGGCAGACTGGCAAGGCGACACTCGGTGAAGAAATAGACATCGTGCGCCTGGGACATGCCGTTGATCTCTCGACGAAGCGACACGCGGCGGCGAAAGGACGAAGGGCGTGCAGTCGACACTTTTGCCAAGCCAACTCTAGAAGCTGGACCAAGGAACAACGTGCTAGACGAGTCTTTGGATTTTTCTTATTCTCGTCACAGATTTTCTACACTTCACCTCTGGCGCGGCACCCCTCCTTCGACAACCGCTGTTGCAAATGCCGAAACGACATCGACTACAACGAATGTGCGAAGAAACGAGACAAAACGAGCGAAGAAAGCAAGCAAAGCGGACCAAACCGCCGACGACGGGCGATTGCGTGGATAATCTACTGTAACCCACTGAACGCCCCTCCTCGATTTTCCAGCGATCACTGATTTTCGCGCGGCTGCCATTTCTTTTTTTGGCTCCCGTATTCTTGTCACTTTGTACTCCAATTTCTTTTTTCAACTTTACTCGTTTTCTTTCACAACATTTACCACTTTTGCATATGCTGTTCGGGGAATTTCCCAAGCGACACTGTCTTTCGACACCCCGCTTTTCGACACCGGCATTTTTTGCCACCCGACACTGGTTTTTCGACACCGGCACTTGTGCCAAAGCGACACTTGTTTCTCGACACTCGGCATTCGTGCCGAAAGCGACACTCCGCCCGTGAATGCTGCAAGATTTCGCCCTTGGTCAAGCATTCGACAACAAGCTGCTCACGGACGGCCCCCCGTTGATCAAGACAAGTGGCCGCCGACAACTCGGAATCTACGCCGCAGTATTCGGAAGCTGCTCTTCTCTGTATCGACAAATCGACACTGGAAGTGTAAAAAGTAAGACTCCTTTTGAAATTTTGAGCGAGCCACTTACGATTCATTTCGCAAAGTTGGCCAATAGTGATTAGAATTTGAAATGTGTTTGTTGATCCGAAAAACACCTACGTTCGAGAACTTCATCTAATTTTCGGATTTTCATTCGTCTTTTCAGTTTCTTTTCACTTTCAATCTTTCAATTTTGAGTTGTTTATTTTTTTGCCTTTCACCCCTTTTTTCCTCGACATGGCTGGAAAGCGTTTCTCCTTTTGGAGTCCGTTTTTCGGAAATTTAGACATCGCTCGGGCGGACATCGAGTTTTTCGTCAAGCGACACCGGCTGCAAATTTTGCGTCACTGGCTGCCTCTTCCACGACAACAGTCAAGGCGATGATTCGACACTCGCGACAAGCTTTTCAAGCCGCCACGCAAGCTCGCCAAGCCGTTCAAGCCTGATGTGATCGAGTTGTCTGATGCCACCTCCATCATCTGTGGTGAAGCTGCTGCGTACCGCGCCCATCTCGCCCCCTGCCTCGCCAATCGACACTCGATGCCGAATGGTTTTTACTTTTTTCCAGGCGCCCCACACTACATCGATGGATGGAGCAGCGACATATCCTTTTCACAAGGCGTCACAGTGCAAGCGTCAATAGCCGATCGACAAGAAGCAGTTCAAGCATGTGTTCCACAAGCCGCGCTGCGACATCTCGATGTTGGTCAACGTTGCGCCACACACTTCCTACGGATGCGATCATGCGGCCTTGCGTCTTCACCATGCTGACGTGATCAAGCCGTACTGCGCCACTCCACACAAGCTTGAAGCCTCATCAGCTTCGATTGGCGGAAGCTTTTTGTGTCACTTGCTGCCCTCGGTACAACATTTTTTTCCAGGCGGCAAACGCTACGTCATTTCACAGAAGCTACGCCCCATGTTTCCATCGCACCACGCAAGCGACACTTGAGCGGGCGATCATTCTCGATCATGCCACCCAAGTATCGAAGTTGCGACACAATTTACATGATGGGACATTCGTCGTCACTCATCTCAAGCCTCGTCCACGTGATGCCACTCTTCTTCATGGCCCTCAAGGCATCTACGCTGCGATTCACCGGCCCTGGGCTGCATCATTCGTCACCGTTTGCGCTCTGGCCTCGTCTCCTCGACAACGATGAAGTTTTTTTCCGACACCCGTCTTTTCGACACTTTTTTTCAGATATCTTTCTGTAGAAGTGTACATCGATCGGACGCGGTCACGAGACAGAGTCAAGCTCTCATCGCAAACGTTCTCCAGCCCCGGCGCCATCAAATCTACGCTGCCGGATTTGTTCGTCTACATCTGGTTTGTGCCATGCGCTGCGCGAGACAGCTTCACAGTGCCACAAGCCGACCAAGTTGCTCTCCGCCCATCCACCGCCGCTTCGCCTCGGTCGCGACACTGAAAGCTAATCTTTCTTTAGTCTATTGTGCTTTAGACATCGTGGGATACGTACATCGTGTAGAAAAGAGCGACACCTGACACGCCTGTCAGTGGTTCTTTTCTACACACCGCCGCAAAATGCTTGCGTTCTTACAATCGACTCCCACACGCGCTCTCTACAACTACGCAACAATGTCAAGTACACGGGTGCACTACGGCCCGAGCCCGTCAACTGATGTGTTGTTATTTACTTTTCACTGCGTGCGCCGTCAAGTGCGCCAACCACCGCGTGACTTCAACTTCAGCATTGCGCCACCGCTTTCCGGACAGCCTGTTTGAACTACACACGTCGACACTGCAAAAATCTCCACGCTGGAGACAATTTGTACACTGTCGACACAACGCGACATGTGCTGCGAACGTCGACACTCTGCATCGCCTACAAGGATGACCTTTTCCTCGATCCGCGCCAGCTCTGTGAAGATCCCGCTGCTGTTAAGAACGAGCACAGCGATCGGAAAAGGCAATCAAGTGTACGGGCAATGTCGAGACACCGGTCCGGCCTCAAACACCGGATCGGCTACGCATCATGCACTCCGTCTCATCACCCGCATTACTGATCGAGCCTCAACTTCAACGCAGACATCCGCGTTTCCACCACCAGCGACAGCTATCATCCATCAACAAGCGGGAGCTTCCATCGAGACAAGAACATAACCATCACCGGAAATCGACACAAGATACCACATACTTTCTCGCGCTATCCTGCTCTCTTTTCCACACTTGTTCTCTTTGTTCTTTCCTCTGGTTCTTCGATAACTCTAGTTTTCTTACAGAAAACTCAACAATGCCTAGCCGCGACTCGGATCGCCCACCGCCCGACAGGTCGAGGCGCAAAGCGACACCGACACGCTGCCGTGATGGAGCTGCCGACACCTTCTGGCCGACGCAGCGCGCGACACTCGCCACCCCGTCGGCCATCATCATCTGGTCGATCTACCCAAGAAGGTTCATCCCGCCATCACTGGGCCCCAGCGCGCGCGTCGCAGCGATAACAACAGCAGCTCTCGCCGCACCTCTCGCCACACGCCCTCTCCTCGACACAGCTGTCGCGACACTCTCTCGTCGCCATGCTTCACCATCGTCATCGGAGCGTCGCATTTCCGACACCTCTAGTACGCCACGCGACCACAAGTCAGCCGCCAGTACCGACAGCCGTCGAGCCGCTTTCGACACTCTTCCAATCGTATGGCTCGTGCTGCTCATTCTGAGAAGCGCGCGGAGGTGAAACTCAAGCCGAAGTCTACTACCGCATCCACATCGCCATCCGATGCTGCCAGCTTAGCTACCGCCCTGGCCGCCACCAGATCGCTTCGACATCTACCGCTCGCAACGACACCGTTTCGGGCGGCGTCCGCACCCCACCACACGCCAGAGCCGATATGAGAGACTTCCCTTCGACATGAGCGACCTTGACTTGCTGCAGAAGGTCAAGAGTCCTACGAGGAGGCAAAGGGAGCGACAAGAACAAGACATCGTCTACCAGGAGACACCCGCCTTCTGGATTGACACTCCTCCTATGCGTCACTCGGGCAACCAAAGTTTCGCTGTCGACCCTCGTACTGACGCCTTCGACCACATTCCACTCCGGCATGTCCCCAAAGGCTATCATCCCGTACGAGATCAAGGATTGACGACAAGGAGGGAACCCCGGACAGACCGAATTTCGCCCGTATTGATCTTCACAGCTACCATGTCGAATACGTGCTCACCAAAGGATACTACACGCATCCGCTGCACACGCCGTTGAAGCTCTCCTGGTAATCAACATCCGGCCGCGCCTTGGAAGACGACGACCTCTTCATGTCAGGAACTCGTCGGCGACATATCGTACGGGCCTTCCATCTACGCTACGCGACAGATGATGGCCGATCCAAGCGACGACACTCGGAACAACGTCGGAAACCTTTTTCAGAAACTTGACGTCGATGAATGTCATCGCCTCCTGTCCTCCTCGCTGATCCGCGGACAAGTGCTCTACAACATCTTGAGCTCTGCCCTCGATGCGACACCGCCGATTTCGGGATCATCGACACTCTGTGGGGAATACTTCGACGAGCTCGCTCAGAAGGATGCCGCGTACTACAATGTCCTCCCTCATGGCACTGGACCTCCACACCAATCTAAGCAGGAGCTTCAACCGCACCACACCCAAGACGGAATCACCTGAGTAAGACACTCGCTGACGGCAAGCGACGCTTGCGCGACATCCGGATGGGACAGTTCGACACGATCATGAAGTACATGTCGAACTTCAACACACAGCTGGCACGCCCACCAGACAGAAGGAGTTTCAAGACTAATCCGACTTCCGCGAAGGAGAGAGGCAGGTCAAGCGACACCGCATGCGCGAGCCGCCATCCGAAGCGTTTACTCTTCCAGGACACGACAACGCCCTCTGCGAACACGGAGTCATCCACCCGCCGACACCGATCGTGGAGCCTTCCGACAAGTACACGGTGGTCAAGCTTCGCCAGCCTACTGCGCGCCGCTGCCCAACGACAGCCGGTCAATTTTTTCCACGACATCCTGCGCTACACCCCTCGTCATCCGAGGTTCCGACCGTAGTGATCGCAGCACTCACTCACCCGGCAGAAGGAGTTCTTAGAAGCGATTCACCTTGCCCGACCAGGACTTCTGAAGATCCCCCCGATGAATTTACCCCATATCTCCGTTCGAGACCTCGACTTCGTCCTGCCACTCCATCGGCACGGAGAAGCACGCGCTCACCTATGATGAGTATACGTCCACGACACGGAGCTGATGAAGCTTTATCGTGAAGCTTACACCGATCCCGACAACGTGGACTTCTGAGTCGACACTGACAACCGTGGAACCCAGAAACCCGCCGCAGCAAACGCCCCAGCGTCAATGTATCCGCGAGCTATCACAGTGGTGCGCCGGACACTCGCTTCTCCCAGATGTCACCAGCCGAACTGACGGAAGCCGATAAGCGACACTGGCACGCGCTGATCAACCCGCCGAACAAGAAAGACCATTCGTGGGCTCGATACCGGGACGACCCGACAGTTGCATACAAGTGCGAAGATGAATTTCAGCACATCCAATGGCTGCTCGCCACCAAGACGATTCCGACATTTCGTGTCACATCTCGGCCGACACAACGCCCACCCGGACAAGACGCGAAAGAAGTCGTCATGGAGTACGAACCAGTGCGGAAATGGAATCGACATTACCGTTTCTGCGACGGCATCTTTCCAGACATGGTACCTATCTGGCGCACGCAGCGTCGGCTATCGACTCCGTCGAGGAATAGAGTTCACCTACAAGAAGCTCACCGTCGACATCGACACACCGCTGGGACCTTCTTTGGATCCTCTTCTACCGCAATCAACGGCAACACGGATCACGTCATCCAACGTGCTGTACGGATCTTCCCAAGGCGACAAATCCACCTTCAAGGATCCCTTCCGGACACCTGAACAGGCTCTCGAAGACTTTCTGCGACAGCCCCTACTACGCAAAGCGCGACATCCGAGACCCACAAAGGCGACAGCAATCCGAAGTGCTCGTGCCTCGGCGACGGCAGCTATTTCCACTGCCCGGAAGTCTGCCACGTGCTCTCCGACTTCTCGACATTCCTCTCGATCGCCAAGGCGACTGGAATTTGCCCGGGTACTTCCGACAACACCGGACAGATCTGCTCCCGCAGCCGCGTCTGGGAGTTCGGCAAGAGCATACCGACACCACACCAGATGGATGCCTGTTCCCTCACCAAGATGCACGGTCGCTGCCACATTCTGCGGTGCCCCCGATCATCAACTTCCTTGGTGCCGCTTCTTCCGTACCCAAATTGGCACCTACGACATGGACGAAGACGATATGGTTCCACCACTCCATATCCTGGTCAACTGGAATCGCGCCCTCTTCCCTCGCAACGGCCTACAAATGTTCACCAATGCCATCACTTCAGGAGAACCGGTCCAGATTGATGTCGACACCTTCTTCCAAGACCCCAATCCGGAGCAGACACCCGCCGCCGCCGCAGCTCCGAGCAACATCCACGCCTTGGCCTTCGACCTCGCTCTCAAGTTCGCCACCAGCTCGTCTACCGGTCGGAAGCGTCCGAGCCAAGAAAACCTGCAAATCGAGCACAAGCGCCAGAAGGACGATCGTCCAAGCACTTCCTTCGCGACACCGAGCAAGGAGAAGGCCCCTCGTCCCACTCTGAAGGAACGTGACCACCCGAAGGATTCGCGCCGCCCAGACGACAAGAAGTTCTCGGCTGCTCGTTCGCGACACCGTTCCACGGATCGCAAGTAAGCCGTTCCCCTGCCTTACGACACTGCCTTACGACATTCTTTTTGTGTAAAGTCGGTCAGGAGGAATCCCCTTCTTTCCGATCTAGCACATGCGACACCTTTTTTCTCTACTTGGGCGACAAGATGCGTGTTCGACTACCGTCAAGTCGACAACGGACGTGTTCAGCTCAACATCGACATCAAGGCCAACATGAAGCGAGCCCACAAGCCCCTGCCGACTGCCCCACCTTGGTCAAGCGCGTCACAGCCGTCGTCGACAACCACCACACCATCATCAAGCGCAAATCTTGACACCCTTGTATGTTTTTTTTCTCCTTTTTCCTCCCCCACCCTAGTCTCCCCCACAGCACATCGGGTACGGGCCCAGTAGGGATGTGACTGTTCCCCCTTTTTATGTGGCCTTTGGCCTCCCTTTCCCCTTTTTTTTCCTTACAGTCCCATCCTCACATCACTTGTCCCCTCACCCCACCCGCCCCGGACTCCTCGTGGCCCCCCGGAGGCTCCTGCCCGACTTGCGACACCACTCCACTTGGGAAGCGCGTCAGTACGCCCACGTCATCGCTTGCGGCGGCCGGGAGTGTCGAGTCCTTTCTCCTCCGATACCCTTTTTAGGAGTATCGGAGATGAGATTTAAGACATCTTTGCTATCCCGTGGATGGGGGCGTAAGATTTACAGAAAAGGGGGCCGCCATTTCCCTACCGTAGTCCAGAGCTCCCTCTGGGCGCGGGGATATTCCTCCCCCGCGAGGCTCTCTGGGATTTTCCCTTTGTCCCTAAAGGGAGAGTGCCTCACTCTTTGGTGTCGCGTCACTATCGGGCGTAAAGCCTTCTACCGACACACTGGCTACCGCTCCCCGAGACGGCTAAGCTAGTGTAGACAGCTCGCACTTATCCCTGACTTCCGGTGATCTCTTCCTAGAGACATCCGGCCCTCCCGCGACACCTTGTTCTATTTCTCCCCTGGGCACCTGCTGGCCCACGACACCCATTTTCCCTATTTCCTTACCGACACTTATACTCACAATAAACCTTTTGTCTATCTCAGAAGCAGTGTTCAGTACATTGGATCTTATTCGTGACTCGCTGGGCATTTACACAAGGCCCTAAATATTCCTCGAGGTCTCCACTGACTCCGATGATCCGAGGGTAAGGAGTGATCGAGGGTCCGCTATTATTATGGTCCCAGCTCCTGAGAGGGCAGGTTGAGCATAATACTTTCGACACCACCCTTTAAAACTAAAATTCG